GAGTGATCTGAGGTGCAGTGGTAGCGGTTGGACACAGATGCTACAGCGGCTGTGTTGCTCCACGTTAGATCTAGGACGTTCCCATCCCTGTGCGTTGGCTCTCCAACAATGCTGACTAGGTCCATGTCGTGGGCTGTTGCCCATTCCATAATCTGGTTACCATTGCCGTACTGATTTGTTGTTTGCGGTTGCCAATGCTGTGACACAGAATTGAAATCGCCTCCAACAACCACTATACCTCTAACTTCCCACCGGAGTAGGGGCTCCAAGGTTCCACTAGTGCCTGGGGCACGGTATACGTTGACAAAGGTTAGGCTGCCCATCTTTACAAAACAGTAGTCAGATGTCGGGCCTGACAACGGTGGAAATAGTTGAGTCGCATAACTACCTTTGCGCGTGAAAGTTATCGCGCGGGGCCGGATGTCTGTTCCTCCGAATGGTATGTGGCTATTGTAGCCAGGGTGACTTTTTGTTATAAAACCCCCCTCTTTCTTTCTTGTCCATGGTTCCTGTACCATGACTACATGTGCACCAGCATCCCATGCCTGCTGCAATGCTATATCCGTGTTTTCTCCACCTCTTCCGACATTCACTTGGTGAAAGTGGATGGTGTCGTACTTGCCTTTTGGTGCTTTTGTTGAGGGGTTTCCTAACATTAACACGACATTGTTGAGTCCTGGGCAATGACGGTTTCGAACGCCTTACCCTTCCTTTCAGAGTACGCTAGAGCAGCATGATAATCACGATGTCCGCGTTCTCTGATGATGTGAAGTTCTGCCGGGGTGCGGGGCAGAATTATCCCGTTTTGTCGTCTTGGCCGGGCCATACAGCTGCCCTCATTTGAGTGGTGAGGTCCCGCGCAATTTGAGCACTTTGACACCTTTGCCTGGCGCTCTGATGTCTCGTGGGTTCCCCCACATCTCCCGCATCGTTGGCTCCGAGTACAGGAACGCGTTGTGTGGAATCCCCAGCAACGTTGGCATTGCTCGATTGGTCTTCGGCGCGAGAAGGGAATTGCTGGTCCGCTCTCGTCAAAAAGACGAAACTTTGTGTTTGCTGGTTTTTGTTGGAAATGAACAATCCAGCTTGTTGAGTATTGTCCAAGCTTTGTTTCTGTGGGCCTTACCTGGATTGGTGTGGCGCCGCATACAGCCTGGCATTCGTTCTTCACCATATCGTTGGTGACTGGGATGCTGCCTTCAAGCGTCCTGATGTACAATGGCACATGAGGTACGATCAATGACGTCCATTTGGACGCTTCCTCAATCACGGTGTTGTCTTCCTGTAGGGAAGGTGCAATCCTCATGATTGTATCTCTCAATGCATCTGATGCGCATTCGAGAGCGATCCCCGACCTGACTGGGTACATGGAGGTGATAGCTGAGGCTGCTATCCCAGCCTTGTCAGTTATGATTTTCTTGATCGTGACTGGCGAGAGCTTGTGCCAGTGGTGATCTCTCCCCAATCGAAGGAACAGGCGTTTGTCCTCCTTTTGGGTTGTCTGTGGTTTTGGGTGGCTTGATGGAGCAGGCCTTCGTGGAACTTGCACATTTGGTGGTGTCGGTAACTTGGCCGCTTTACGGGCTACTGTCACCCAGGGCGAGCTGGTGTCTAGAGGCTTTGGGGGTAGAGCGTGGCTGTGATCCTCAACAGCTGTATTTTTCATAGGTGCGACTGGTTTTGGAGTGCTTGCCATGGTGGGGGGCTTCTTACTTGGAAAGTTAGATGCTTCTACCTGATCTACTGCGAAGGCAGTGATAATAGGCGTGATGTTTTCCAGTAGAGTCGCGACGACTGCTGCTGCTTGTTTCTCTCCTTTGCTCTTAGCCCAGGAGTCGATTAGTTCTAGAAATTCCTGGGCTATATCCAGTCTTTCTTTCCGTTGTTGTTCTGCTTTGTGCATTATATTCACAATGCCAAGCAGGCTTGGGTGAAGTTGCCCTCCTGGAGTGGAGGGCGTTGTCGATGACGATGCAACAGCTGGGGCCATTGCACCGATTGAAGATTCTTGTAAATAAGGGTAATGGGTGATGCGATGGGTTAGGTGTCGAAAATGCGGTCATTCAGTTGGGTATGTCTTTGAGGGCTAATCTCTTTAATATACCAGTTTCGAAGTTAACAATTTATTTCCCAGAGGCACTGTGATTACTTAAGTCGATGCGCTCTACTATCTCAATGGCTTAAGGGTCTTTTTTCCAATTCACTAAGTGGCCGGCAAAGACTAATTCTACACCTTCCAGTTGTGCCGGTGTAATCGCTCCGTATGCTCTGCATGTCTGGGGTAGCGAAGCAGAATCGCATCCGAATCGATGTCGAAAGCAAACTTAAGTACATCTCCATTTGTCGACATCTAGACAATGCCTCTCTTAACATTATGTATGTGTTTTTATTGTACTACTTGAGTCTATGACTATCTAGCACATTGGGCTCCTCTCTGAGCCAGGCCACACCTTGTACAGTGCTCCTGTCCCCTTTTGTTACTTGAAAGATCATTGATATATTCCCCTTGATGAATAGCCATTCAGCTCAGAATTTACCCATGGAATTCAGCCACCTTTTCCACGGAACCTTCTACCCAAAAAAAAAAGGTAGCAAAGGAAACTGCGTGCGCAGGAAAAAGTCTCAAAACACCTGCAGCCCCAGCCAGGCGAGGTCTAGGCACGGGGACCACATGAGGTGCGCATATTCATCTATATCTCCCTTCTTTTTAACAGTCGAGGTCGACTTGATCCAATCCACCATCTCCGTATCGGGTGCCGGGTAAGCTCCGGAATTTGGTTTGAATTGATCTAGATGGTAGTAAAAGATAGTATTGGTAGGAAGACTTGAATATTTGTCTCGTGGGCCAACTTACTTGTTCAGACAAAAATTGACTAAACTCAGCTTTCGAAAAGTTTTTCACCACTGCATTCGGAAGATAATCCGCTGATAAATATTAAAATTGCGTCATTCTAACCATCTATATTCTGGATTATTGTGCACTAAACACTCAAGCCATGTCACAAAAATAAGTTTTTATAGGCGCATTAAATACCTTTTTTGAACTGAGATTGCAATTCTGTGCAGCATTCTCCCATACTGCTGCAGATATTGGCTGTTAAATAATTACAATCAGCCCTCATATAACCGGATATAATCTGTGATATATCCTTAGACTAAATTTATCCGTACATTCCTTCGTGATCCTGCTTATCATCACTGCACAAAGTACCGGGAGACAATTCTAGGATTAGGCAAACTATCTCCTATCTCAAGTGACATAGGTTACCTAGCTATCCATACTCTTTTTCGAGGACAAGGCAAGACATTTTGCCACTAAATTTCCCATCCCAGGAATAATCCGATTCAACTAACGTCCACTTCGATTTGACCTCTCAATACATTGTGATGGGCTTTGCCCGGATTGGGACTGGTCACTAGGATCACTCCATCTTCTAGTTTAGGTTGTGTCAGAGCGACGCTCACGGAAATATGAATGGGACGCTAAGGAGGATCATGGGTGGCACGTACCAAATGGGGAGTATGATACAGGAGAAGAGTTGTGCCGGGAGAAAGGATAATTTTCAGGTGGCCAATGGGGGGAGTTAAGACTAGTCTACACAGAGCATATAACGGATGTGAGAGTACGTGGTAGATTTTCTTCCCAAGGAAGAAGATATTAATTCCTATTGAGATACTGTCTTTCAAGCACATCTGAATTCATTAAACCCTTACACACATGATAAATTATTGCCACCAAAAATGGTAAAAGTAGATGAATTAAAGTTCTGCCATAATATCTATTTATCATTCGCCTTATGAGTCATTATACTATCATCACTCGATCTATTCATGATATTTTCTATCATGCGCTTCACTTTTGTAATACCGAGTTTCATTTTGATGACTGAATGAATCAAATTGATGGTTACTATAATATCCTTAGTCCGGCTCATTATTTGCGGACTTTTTTGCCACTCTAGAACGGGGCTTCGAACTAAAAAAGCGACTTGAAATATAGATATCAAACTAACCACAGTAAGCTCAAAGGTATTCGCCCCTTGGACCCGATTAAATTCTCTTTACTAGATTAGGCGAAAATTGGACCTCGCTTTTGTGACTTATTGAATGAGCCAAGATTCAGTTAGTTTGAATGAATCGACTTAAATTTGATCTTATTGTGCATTAGCCGGCGAAAAGTGGCATTCTTGGGTCTAGTCGATAGCAATATTGAAGCCCCATTTTCGCCCTATTCTGATCTCACGGATGGCTTGTAGCTGGGCGTTAAGTGGCAAAAATTGGCTAGAAATATAGAGGAAAAGAATTGAAGGTTTTGCCTCCACCTAAAAAAGGAAGGGCCAATGGAGATAATTTTCATTTTTCAATAGTTGAACTAATTATCCAATTCCTATCAATATTGATAAAAAATACGTTTTGTGACTCGCCGCTGGCATTGAATTCGAGGAAAGCGCAATGGTGGAATTGAATTGCCTCCACTTGTTGATAGGCATCTATGACCGCTATATAATTGTCGATTGTTCCCTGTGTTAGCTGTTTATCATCATTATCATCATCACCAACATCATCGTCACTAACATCACTATCATTATCATCATTCCAGCCACTCCGCTTCTTTATCTCTCAAACATCCATACTATTAAAAACTTAGTCCTTGTATTGTGTAATGATCACTTTAAGGAGTTCTAATATAAAACATGGAAGGTAGACTTGTCTATGAAATCAACTCGTTAGAGGTGTAAAACAATTATCCATTAAAACGGATCCAACACTCGAGATTTACATCTTGAGTGAGGGTCCGTGCATGCTAACAAAACAACCCAATAACCACGTGATAAACAAGCTAATTGTACAGGGTATCTTGCTCTCCGGTTCTCCTAACTCCTGGCTAATGATGACAACTCAGACCCATAATAAGGGTCATGAGGATCCTGGAATTGCAATGCATTAGACTTATTTCTCAACACATACCAATTTCTAGTCATACCGCCGCAGTCTTCAAGATGAGATTCTTTATCTTCAGCCTCAATCTTACCATCGTCGCAGCAATAATATTTGCTGCGATTTCCGATTCTCGGTCATTCCACCAATCCAGGCTGTCAATTATTGGTAGAAGAGATACGGTACCAGAGCACACTGGATATCAATGTGCCTCAACAAAGTACGAGATGTATGAAATCTTGGACGCCATAGGAATTGCTTGTCCAAATCCAAAGCCGAGCAGTAACTTTTGGTACTCCTATCTGGACTGCGACTTTCCGAAGATATTTCCTGAAGCGCAGAAGCTTGGGTTTCCCAGGAAAACCCTGATGGCACCAATACGAGGGTCTTTTTGGTTATATTTACTCTCGCTCTCTCATGACATCTTTGATATGATGTCCATGTTGTTTTGCCATTTGATGTTAAAATTTGGAGAAGCTAGACACCGTTGAAACCATTTTGACTTTTAGAATTACTATTTTTAGTTACAAGTACTGACAATTTTTATAGACTCTTTGAAATTTTATTATATCGTATTTGAACCGTCAACTTGCAAGCTTCAGGGTCTCGTTCGGCAAGAGGACAAGAAGAAGGATGGTGTTTTCCAGCTTTGTCGCTATAAGAAGTGGGGCCCTACCTGGCAGGATGTGTAAGTTGAGATTTAAGTGCAATCATCGTATCGAGAACTGACTAATTGAAGACTCAAGCCAAATTAAAGTGGCAGTCATGAAGTTTTGGGGGTATTGGAGTTTTACTGGTGCTAGTTTCGGGAATATGGGATTAACGGTTGCCTTATTATTAAGGAAATAATGACCCCTCAGTCACTGAGGGTTTTTTTTAAATCATTTAATGTGTATTAAGCTATCTAGCTATGACACATGACCGGTTCTATGTACACATGTTGGATGACTCTTTTGACATTAGAGACACTCACACTCTGGATTTCATTTGCAAATACCACTATGAGGTATGTTTGCTTACAGATACAGTCGACCCTCCTCCGTTAGTACCCACCAAAGGGAATTTAAAAACCTTTGATTATCCAAGCATGCCTTCGTCATCCATGCATACCAGCGCCGCGAGAAAAGTAGTTATGTTTCGCCGATTTGGAACCAGCGATCTCCTATCTCAAGTGGGATATGTGTCCAAGCTATCCAGACTCTAATTGGCAGATCGGCCAAGACGATGTACCGCCACACCATCCAACCGTGGCAGTTTTTATAGTGTCAGCTGCACTCTCGCAAGCGAAGTCTTGGCGCGCACAGAGCTCAATTCGTAAAACTGCTTGCCAAAATTCGGAATTTTACACCCTTCGAGACTGTATCCATTCTTTGCATCATCTTGACAACTTGTCCCGATCCCTCTCACGTCCATCCCAAAGAAAAGTCTCCCAGATTTGTGCGTCACGCTTTGCTTTCTCCATCGGGTGTAAATATCGGCGTGGGCGTGTATTTGGGGGTCAACTGAGGCCAGAGATGATCAAAGAGTGGTGTGGTCATTGGAATGAGGATGTACTTGGTCGTACTTGTAGGCTTGATGAGACTTAGGTAGAAGTCAAAGCCGTTGGGGGCGAAAAAGCGACGTAGTGGAATAATTTGAATCAATGCCCGGTGGGCCAACTTCATTTATATTGCGGAATTTGACTGAACTTGGCTCTGGGAAAACATTTCACTCCCAGGTTCGTAGAGGGCACCACTGACAGGTGTCCAGCCTTGCCCTCCTCTGCACGGGCCAATAGAGCGCCTAATCAGGATAATGAACCCAATTCAAACATATTTTCAACAACACCTTTCACTGCTTGACCAACAAAGCCCTTGATTCGAAGGACGAAGGCTAAACACCTGTCAGTGGTGCCCTCTACGAATCTGGGAGTGAAATGTTTTCCCAGAGCCAAGTTCAGTCAAATTCCGCAATATAAATGAAGTTGGCCCACCGGGCATTGATTCAAATTATTCCACTACGTCGCTTTTTCGCCCCCAACGGCTTTGACTTCTACCTAAGTCTCATCAAGCCTACAAGTACGACCAAGTACATCCTCATTCCAATGACCACACCACTCTTTGATCATCTCTGGCCTCAGTTGACCCCCAAATACACGCCCACGCCGATATTTACACCCGATGGAGAAAGCAAAGTGTGACGCACAAATCTGGGAGACTTTTCTTTGGGATGGACGTGAGAGGGATCGGGACAAGTTGTCAAGATGATGCAAAGAATGGATACAGTCTCGAAGGGTGTAAAATTCCGAATTTTGGCAAGCAGTTTTACGAATTGAGCTCTGTGCGCGCCAAGACTTCGCTTGCGAGAGTGAAGCTGACACTATAAAACAAGCCGACGATGGAAGGTGTTGTAATCCGCCTCCTGGTGATGTTCTCTAGTATAGTTTGAGTAGCCTGGGCACTTACTCCACTTGGGAAGGAGACACCTCAGAACATATTTCGCGCGGAGAAAAGTTGAAAGATGATGGAGGCATGTCTGGATAACTCAGGGTTTTTGAGACGTTTCTCTGGGTGGGTATTCACGGATGAGAGTTGACTTGGGGTGAACAAAAAGCCGCCATAACTTCGCAGTTGTACTTGCAAATGAAATCCGAGGCATGAGTGCTCTTCCTTTACGATGAATCATCTATTCTTTACTTTTCTTTGATATTGTGTCATAGCTAGATAGCTGCATACGCAGCTAAAATCTGATGCAAAATAAAAAAAAGGGCTTAGCACCGATTGTCTTCCATACAAATTTTCTCAATAATTTGCACAAACACGAGGGCTAACCTCCATTAGGAAGGTGTCTATTCCTAAGTAGGCTTAATAAATACGCTAAAGCCCCACTACAAACTAGAAGCCGCGGTCACGCGGTAGCCCAGGATTTATGTTCTGTTATCATCGCATTACGTTCCTTATCTCACCAACAAAAGAGTCGGCAACTGAAATCAAGCGAGCGAGGGAGGGATACAAGTGTTAATGGTGACAAAAATCTATGAACGAGTTGTCCCTTCCAAAGTTTCCCAAGTATGCCGAATATAGAGCAGATAGAAGATGACCCAGCACCAATAAATTTAATTAATCCTGCATTCAAGCCCATAAGTAGGTCGCACATTCTCCACTGCTCATACCAATATTGGTACTCAAAGTACCGGACTCTACTCACACTACTTCAAACTACCTTCTGATTCATACATAGATACCGCTCATCATGTATTAAATCCAGGATAATCCCACTGACTGATTTGTTTTTGAACTACCTCCGTGAGGATGGTATTATCCTTCCAGATGAGGTGCCTACTACAGCATCACCAGAGACTAGCTTTATAGAATCTATTAATTCTCACAGCGAATGGGATGAAGCTGTTGAGTCTTCACCTCATCTCGCATTTCCTGAAATACATCAAAAAATCAAAGACACCATCCTTGAACTTGGTGGATCTGTCGCTCCAAAGTTAAACTGGTCAGCACCTAAGGACGCTACTTGGATCTCGATGAAGAAGAATTCTATGGAATGTTCTTCACCAAATGATATTTATTTACTTCTTAAGAGCTCTGATTTTATCACCCATGATCTAGAGCATGCCTTCGATGATACGACCAATCCCCAAGAAATTGGACAAGAAGATATAAATTACATATTGGTACTCCGAAAATGGTTTCAAGTCAATCCAGCTTGCGAATTTCGATGTTTCGTCAGGGAACGGAAATTAATTGGTATATGTCAAAGAGACCTAAACCATTTTTCATTCCTATTTGCCATCAGAGACAAAATACGTGATAAGATTAAGGAGTTCTTCGAGAACACTCTCGTCAAAACATTTCCAGACCCCGAATTCGTTTTTGATGTCTACTTGCCCGAGCCATACGAAAGGGTGAGGCTTATAGATATCAACCCTTGGGCACCTAAAACTGACCCCTTACTTTTCTCTTGGATTTACCTTCTGTCTTTACCTCTTCCTCAACATCTATTGGGATTACCCGACTCAGAAGCGTGTCCCTCACTACCATCAAGTAGTAGTGACAATGATACCCCCGACGAAGACGTTGGTGAGACTGACTGGGTGCCAGAAATTAGATTAGTTAGAAAAGACGATCCCAGGGCTTACAACTTTGCTAGTTCCCAATATAGTGCGCACAAATTGCCACGAGAAGTTGTAGAAGCAGGAATGCAAGGTGAAAATGCAATACGTGATTTTGCCACTCAATGGGAAAAGATGATGAATGGGCAAGCCAAGTTATGGCGCAGCGAAATTAGCGACGAGGATGACATCTAGAAAGCCCTGCTTGCATCACTCTCAATATAAGTTGGAAACATGATAAAATGATTCACTATTTCATGAAGCCGGGAGGCGTTGGAGCTCGCATATGATCAAGAAAAGGGTTTCACTTAGACTGAATTTGATCATCAGCAAAGGAGTATGATAGACCTAAAAATTTAGAAATATTAGGTTCAGATGTGTATTAGACTCAAAAAGTTGATCGAACTTCGTCACTAATTGAAATATCTAAAGGCTCACATGCAACATCTCGCTGTCGTGAACCCAAATTAGTCCTTGTAGACACAGTGAGTAAAGTGGTCCGACATTATGATAATGTTGTAGGTCCATTTGTATTTATAGCAGCTTAGCATCCGTATTTCCAATCACGAAAAATAATTTTAATCCATTAGATGATAAACTTTACGAAGCAAGCCTTATCAAAACAAAATTCGTTAATAGCTCTGCGAAAGGGGTGAATTTTAGGAAGATCGTCTCAACGAACTCGTCTTTTCGCTCATGATTCTGTCGTTTCATTTCTCTCGTCGTTTTCTCTAAATTTTTCAATGCATAAGATCAAAGGAATATGGCGAAGTCCCATGTTCACATGGCTTGGACATTCCCACTAGATGAGGGCAAAACAAAGTTGCGAAAATGATTTATCTCATCTCTTTGACGTGTCCTCAGCTTTATTTTTCTCTGCAGCGAGGCGAACCCGTTCTTCTTGCCTCTTCCAGTGGCTGCCCTCTTCGTAATCCCTACTAATCCCCAGAGCACTCCGGAAACGATTATCTTGCTTTATTTTGGCCTCGGCAAGACCATGCACATCGTGTATTTTCAATCCCTTACCATTTCTGGCGTCACGGGTCCTCTCACTATCTTTTAGGAGTTTGCATCGCAGTGCTTCTGTCTGGGTTTCTATCTCTTCTTCGTCAAGTTCTTCAAGCTCTAACTTGTCACGGAGTTCGAAAACTTTGACTTCAATCTCACGTTTTCTATTGTGCTCAAGAATTTCAAGATCAGGTTGGCGCTGACGATGTTTCGGGGTTTCGGAATGTGTTGGATACGGTTTGCTGCGATCTCTTGGCTTAACGAAGGCGAGGTTGCGCTGAACATAGCCTGATGTGCCACTACCACGAGGCGTTGAAAGTCCGACGTTGGAAGACATACAGAAGCGGATGTAAGGTTATTTAAGCGGTTCAAAAGTAGATGTTCATTCATGGTTGACATGTCTACGGCTACACATTATCCCGGTTCTTTTGATGCATGAGCTGGTGTAGCCTTTCTATCCGAGCTCGCTTAAGGGTACGTGTTGAAGAATCTTTAATTTCTAATTATATTTACCAGGCATGGATGCGAAAAATCAAATCTCTTGATAAAAAAAAATTAAAATAGTCGCAAACATTGTCTCCGACCAGTCAACAGACAGAAGAAGGGTTACCTAAAGCAACACACCCTCGGATATCCACCAGAATCTTAGAAGATCCCAAAGCAGTATTGCAGTTCAGATATGAAGTGAGAATATCAATCTCAATTCTAATTTATTTCGAAGAAAAGTCCCTTGAATGTTTAATCTAGCATGCCGGTGTGGGTATCCATCTTAAAATGTCAAACATATGGTCTTGGTATGACCTCAGTAGATGAGGGGAAGCAGAGAGGTGTCTCGAAAGGCAAAAGGTATGTCCTTTGCGATGTTGATGGATAGCCCAGATGATATGGAGAAAATCACAATGTGGATCCTGACTAAAGGCTTATTTTAAACAGTCCCGGCTCGCAGGGGAAGTAGACATAGCATGGGACTAAAATACAAGGCGATGTCAACGGGGATAGGACGGAATTTACACTGTATGTACAGTGTAAACGCACTCCCTACAAGAAACCCCAATGCACATGAAGTAGGCAGGCTTGAGGTGGCTTTTACCGAATTGGTTTCCTCTCTCACAAATACTATAGCTAAATATATCTGAATGGACCCATAGGGTACCTAAATGGGCTAAATGAAATGAAATCAAAAAAAAATAAGAATAGGAGAGATGACATAGCGCTATGGGCCCTAATCTATAGGAATACTGGGTCTCAGAGAGGAAATAGGGTGGCCGGGAAGAAGGCCGCATTCAAAAAATGGTCAGGTCTCTAGCCAATACTGAATCATGAAAAGCTGCAAATTTGTACGACGAGAAAATAGATAAACTTTTGATGAACTACAGTGAATTACCTACCCAGATTCACCAAAACATTTGTAGGGACTAGAGCAGCACAGCTACATAAGTAAGAAGCGAGCGGATTGGGTTAAATGCTCACTTGTACCGAAAGAGTGTACCAGGAGTAGGAAAACCACGATGCACATGATGATGTCTTGTCCAAAATGAGCAAAAGAAAGAGGCGAGTCGCTACGGAAATCGACAACTTGATTCTTCGAAACTATGGTAAATGACGCTAAATATATAACTAGATTTGCACAATGGACTCAAAATGTAGGATACCTAGAGCAGTTTCGCATTACTGAATAACTCAGGCGTTAATCAGGCAAGGCAGGTGACGAGCGAGTAAATTGTTTATTTTGCTACTTAAGTCGGTAACGATCTAGCACGAAGAGGGAATCACTGGATTCTAGATAAGGGACGGAATCTACATTTGGAACAACTGAATGAGCGCATTTCTAAATGGTAGGACCATAATAGTGCTTTATTCAATCTTGTCGTGAGATTATTATTGTAAGGCTCCCTCCGGAATAAATCATAAAGTGATATATAACTGCATCGGCTCATGCGGTGCTGAAGAGAACAACCAGATTATATTCAAGCATCCATACGTGACGCCCAGGAGCCTGTGCAGGCATTTTTGGAGGATGTATATTTGATGCGTAACGATTCATTTTGTAGCTTGGGACACTCACGCCCTGATTAAACTCGTAGATACTACTCGAAGTTAGCCATGACGGTGTATAACTTCTTCCGTGCTTTCTCATCACAGGGGGGAAAGCGTGAAAACCCCATAATTATCCGGGTGAACTTTCGTCACCCTATAGATACAATATCGGAGGGCAAGACTGAACACCTGTACGCGGTGTCCTCTACGAATCTGGGAGTGAAATGTTTTCCCAGAGCCAAGTTCAGTCAAATTCCGCAATATAAATGAAGTTGGCCCACCGGGCATTGATTCAAATTATTCCACTACGTCGCTTTTTCGCCCCCAACGGCTTTGACTTCTACCTAAGTCTCATCAAGCCTACAGGTACGACCAAGTACATCCTCATTCCAATGACCACACCACTCTTTGATCATCTCTGGCCTCAGTTGACCCCCAAATACACGCCCACGCCGATATTTACACCCGATGGAGAAAGCAAAGTGTGACGCACAAATCTGGGAGACTTTTCTTTGGGATGGACGTGAGAGGGATCGGGACAAGTTGTCAAGATGATGCAAAGAATGGATACAGTCTCGAAGGGTGTAAAATTCCGAATTTTGGCAAGCAGTTTTACGAATTGAGCTCTGTGCGCGCCAAGACTTCGCTTGCGAGAGTGAAGCTGACACTATAAAACAAGCCGACGATGGAAGGTGTTGTAATCCGCCTCCTGGTGATGTTCTCTAGTATAGTTTGAGTAGCCTGGGCACTTACTCCACTTGGGAAGGAGACACCTCAGAACATATTTCGCGCGGAGAAAAGTTGAAAGATGATGGAGGCATGTCTGGATAACTCAGGGTTTTTGAGACGTTTCTCTGGGTGGGTATTCACGGATGAGAGTTGACTTGGGGTGAACAAAAAGCCGCCATAACTTCGCAGTTGTACTTGCAAATGAAATCCGAGGCATGAGTGCTCTTCCTTTACGATGAATCATCTATTCTTTACTTTTCTTTGATATTGTGTCATAGCTAGATAGCTGCATACACAATTATAATATGATGCAAAAAAAAAAACGATATCATTGCGACAGAACACGGTGTGCGGGTTGTGCTGGATTCGAACCGGCCTTCTCCTGTCTCAAATTAGGTAGGCGTTCAAGCTACCCAGTATCTATTTAGGCGAACGACCAGAATTTTGTATCACTGCGCTATTCAGCTCCTTAGGTGGGGTACAGCAGCTCCTCTCTTTGGTTGCCAGACAGCTAGTCCCCTAATTTCAACTCCTGAATAACCAGGAATGATGAGATAAGCGAAAAGTATGGAAATTTGCAAGGAATCAGCCAAGCATCATGTGGCTTAGTGGGGTATGCAGTTTGGACTGTTTGCGTGAACTTTCTCTAGGCGTTAGTCAAGCGAGACAAGATTTTCAAGTATAAATAGCAGTGTTCGCGCTTCTCGATCTCTTCAGCGATCTTACGTTTGTCTCCCCCATCCCCAAATATTCTCTAAACTCCAAGCTAACTTCACACATAGTTCATAGAATCATTTCTATAGTAAACGTCTTCTTCTGAGCTTCTCAAAAAAGCCACAGAACTCCAATCTCGACGATGATTTGAACCTCGATGGCTCAAAGTGAAACCGTGGCCCTCGAACTGTCTGCGAAGACGGCGGTGCTGGTGAAAACTGGTACTGTATAGAGGGTGGTGATGATCTGAGCACTTTGGAACGATGCTTTCGAGTGTTGATCCGAAGGCGGCTATTGATGGAAGTCTGAGAGACAACTTTCATTGCATGAGCTGTATAGTTAGCTCTGCGAAGAAGGTTAATCCTTTTGTAAAGCTTACCCAACCATCAGCTCACGCGCATGAGTATGATCACAATTAAATAAATTCTGCAATATAAAGTAATTTAAATTTTAAGTTTATTGACATAAAACTATGCGGTATTGACATTGCGTCTCCATCAAGAATACGCAACTTGGAAATTAATTATCGAATGCATTCATTGTTGGTTCCACGCAAGAAGAATGTTGTATACTCAGGCCCTACGATCGGCAGACTTTAATAGCTAACTAATATGGAGAGGCCTGTGCGTCTCTAATTCGTAGAGGTTCGAAACACCCTAGATAGATCCAATAATACATACAAATCAGTACCCTCGCTTTCCCTTCCCAAGCACTAGTGCTAAAGTACTGTCAACATTAATGACATTTCATGTATTATCTTAAAAATGATGACTAATTATGTTGTTGCGTAATCAGTTACCTGATTAGGAATGGCGTCAGGAGAGAGAGCGAAACCCGCTGTATATACGTGTTTCCGTTAGTTAGAAAAGAAGAGATAGAAGATATATATTAACCACCGATTGTTATTACTGCTACAGAAAGCTTGTGATATAAATACCACGCGAGTATTCCGACATTAATTGTTCACTTGAAATCAAGTCTATGAGGGAGGAATAAATATTAAACAGCACTATTATAACTCTGGCAAATAGGATTTTGCCAGGCCTCAAAAACATTATCACTAACAATTTGAACCTGAAAGTCTTTGATTCAAGAAAAGGCTCTGATATGAACAAGTACCCATTCCCCTTGGAAAACAAACATACCTGTTAGCATAGCACATCTTAGCACAGTCAGCTCTTGGGGGACCATTCTCAACACCTGTCAGTGGTGTCCCCTACGAACCTCCAGCTCTCACTGTAGAGTCTGCAGAGCCGAGATTGAGTAACAAAGTCCTCACTTCGAAGAGGATTCCCAATCGCTTTCGCGGTCTGTATCGTCTTCATCTCTCAACACATTCCCCTATCACCATTATCATGAAGCTAACCACGATCAGATCAGATGGTAGGGTCGGAGCCCTACTCGTCACCCACCCTTGATCATGGAGGAAAAGCCATCCGATGAGTTTCCGGAGCGTACCCAGCGCCCGATACGGAGATGGTGGATTGGATCTAGTTGGCCTCGACTGTTACAAAGAAGGGAGATATAGATGAGTATGCGCACCTCAAGTGGTCCCCGTGTCTAGGCTTCGCCCGGCTGGGGCTGCAGGATTTTTGAGACTTTTCCCCGCGCAAGCAGTTTCCATAGATACCTTTTTTTTCTTTTTTTTCTGTCCAGAAGATTCAGTGGAAAAGATGGCTGAATTCTCTGGGTATATACTGAGCTGAATGGCTATTCATCAAGGGGAATATATCGGTGATCTTTCAAGAAACATGAGAGGCATGGAGCTTTGTACAAGGTGTGGCCTGGGTCAGAGAGGAGCCCAATATGCTAGATAGTCATAGACTCAAGTAGTACAATAAACATCACTCACTCATT